ATTAGGGACGGCTAGCGCAGATAGCCATCGTGGAACTTTGTGTGAAATTCATAACAAATCATTTCTTACAGTTTTTATGTAATCCAAGTATAAGCGTTGCCTACACAAAGTGTTCAGCAATTATATTAATAAATTAACATATTTTCCCAATACCTGAATCACAAGTGAGCAGTTTTGTTAACATAATTCTCTATAGATTTATTCCTTGTCACCAGAAGCTGTGGGTTCAAAAGGCTTGACTTTAAATTGAATATTGAAACGCTTTAGATTATTATAGTATCAGGGTAGAACGATAAAACATTTTAGTTCATGTTATTAACTATGACACTCGTAGTGGGCCATTCCAAAGTTAGCTGAATTCTTTAACTTTGCTGATTCCTCATGTACAGTATGATTTCAGATTTCTTAATACTACCCACGTTTTTAAATAAACGGAAATTGAAAAGCGGACAAGTATTTTTTTTTTTCGATTAAAGAAACATTTCTACATTGTATATTGTTAATTAGCATAACCAGTTTCATAGAAGTTGACGTTATTTGTTTGTAAAATAGGTGATCATCTATATAACGTGCATTGATTGTCACGTAATACTGAACATGATGATTTTCTAATAAAACTTTCTATATTTCTATAGGAAGTATTGTACTTCTGGAAATGCTATCCCGTTTTGGCGAAAACCCCTCACCTACTGAGAGTATTTCTATACATGATAGAAAGTGACATTGCTAAAGTAAAAGGTATTAGTTTAAGATCTGAAATTATATGTTGACTTTTGACATAATAGTATAAGTTAGATCTGTCGCTTGTAGGGATTCAGAAAATATATGTTAGAACTTAAGTAATGATATGACGTACAGTAGATCTTTTCCAGCTGACAACCGAACAGCGAGAAGCTTATATTTACATATTTAAATAATTATGAAATCTATAGAAGACTTAGAAAGATATGATACATTTTAATTGTTATTAAGATTTTTTAATTTTTAAAAACTTCAAGAAAAGTAGATTTTTTTCTTTCTTTTGTTATTTTTAATACTCAGTTACCGTTATGGATACCTTGGAATACATATTGTTTTTCCATAACAAGAACGTGATCGTAGGTACCTAATAATTACGTCGAATTTTAATGTTATTGAAAGATGTGTTAAAAAGCCTTATAACTTTAATGGCCTCTTTAGCATCACGGTCCGGCATGGCCAGGTGGTTAGGGCACTCGACTCGCCATCTGAGAGTCGCGGGTTCGAATCCCCATCCCACCAAACATGCTCGCCGTAGGATCGTTATAATGTGACGGTCAATCCCACTATTCGTTGGTAAAAGAGTAGCCCTCAAGTCTTACACTGCTAAATTAGATAACCCTCGAAATTCAAAAACAAACAAACTCTAACATCACGTAATTTGTATTATATACTCATTAGCATTGTCCGAAATGGTTGATCACAACTGTTCGGAAGAATGAAAATATTAAAACAATTTCAACTGAATCCCCCGAACTACAAATGATTATAATTTGTTATTATATAGAAGGTCAAGCATCTCTGGACGACTACTACATGCTGACTTTCTTGCATGGTGTCGCTCTGAAACATCTTAATTATCCTCTCCAAGCTGAAGAGTGTTTCAAAGAGATTGTCAGGAGGTTCGTTGTCTTGTTATTGATTGTTAGTTTGTAGGTGTTTGGCAAAAAAAGGCCACTAGAATTGTTCATATCGATAAGTTTTCAGATGAAATATTTAACACCTTTCAAATTTGTGTATGGTAACACATGTTTTGATATAGACGTTATTTTTGTTTAGAAATAAATTTTATTTCTTTGTGTTTAGGACGAATGTTAATATTTATTTGAGCTCAGACAGTGATATAATGAGTGTTTATACAGCTAAATCACTTAATAATAATATATGTGTGATATTACACACAAAAAAGATACTGAATCTTTAAATCATGTTGAGAGCACATCACAACAAGACCGATAATAATTAAAGTTACTTCATTCGTTACCGTGATAGTACATCACAACAAGACCGATAATAGTTTAAATTACTTCATTCGTTACCGTGATAGTACATTACAACAAGACCGATAATAGTTTAAATCACTTCATTCGTTATCGTGATAGTACATCACAACAAGACCGATAATAGTTTAAATTACTTCATTCGTTACCTTGAGAGCACATCACAACAAGACCGATAATAGTTTAAATTACTTCATTCGTTACCTTGAGAGCACATCACAAC